CGCCGAGTGAAGAGTGGGTTGGAAGCTGCCCGAGGAAAAGGGGAGGGATGAAGTGAAGAAGGAAGAAGGTTAGGTGAAAAATCTTCCTCCCCCCCCCTTCCCTCCCGCTCAGGAGGCCACCCTGGATCCACCTATGAAGCTAAATGGGCAAAAAGCACTCACATAAAGCTGCTAACAATTTGTTTCGCGTCATCACTGGTCCTGGTATTTGCGAAGCTAACACATGAGCAGAACAGTGCCACCCAAGCACACCATTTCATCTGTAACAGGTGCCACCCGTTAAAATTACGAAACCGTAAAAAATAATTTTGCAGGACACATCATGCTTACGAGCCTACAACGGTCTGTACCCTGACTTTTTTCTTTTTTTTTTTAACAATCGGTCAGCCCCTGTTCCGATCATGACCATAAGCCCAACGTAGCGAGCTCATATTTTCTTAAAATTTACTTCTCCAAACATATCTCACGCATCTATGCCCAAATCCTAAGCAATATTAATTCACGTAGATCGTAGTCGTAGACTATTGTACACAGAGGCTCGATCGTAGGGGTCAAGAGGTGTAAACAAATATTCTAAATGATGCTCGGGTGAAAGATACGAAGAAAATGTGAAATGTTAGAATGAAAATGACACATTTAGGTAAGTTGGGAAAAGGATATGAGTTGGAAACCACTAAGCACGATACATGTTTCTAGTCTTCTACAGCGGCCATTCAAAATCCTCCAACTCCTCTAACCACCTTCATCCGGTTCGATCTGTTCGCCATACCGTCATTCCCTTAGGCTAGTTTAACAACTCCAGATTTTTTTCGACGACTTCATAAGAGGTTTTTGACTGACACATTGTACAGTGTCCTTTACAGTTCTGTGGCTTCCATTACAAAACGTCGTCCAGCTCAACACGCACATTCCTATTTTGGAATGATTAGTTCCTGGATGGGCCTCTATGGCTCTTTCTGCCCTTCCTATTTCACTGTATTTCAATAAAATTCTCCACTTGCTCCAAGCAATATGCCAAATTAACAGGAAAAATAGTGGATAGCACTAAAACTGAGGTAATCACTGAAAACACTGCTGCAGTCTACTACCTCAAAATAAAGATAAATCACTGAAGAGTATGGAAATGGGGCTGTTTTATACTGGGAAGCATAAGGACTCACCCTCATCATCAAACCACACATGCTGAATACCATTCCCAGAACGTTCATGTACTCCGGAATCGGATCATCGGCAAGCGCAGCCGATGTTTGTGGATCGGCCGGTTTGTAGCTGTAATTTGCGCCTCATACAGTTGGATTATACAAAATTTAATGAAAACAACGATGCAGTAGACAAACTTTAAAACTACAGATAGGTTCAAATCAGAATTTCAGTCTTTATTAATAAAACAGCTTGTTAATTCACCGACGCTACGATGTGGATTATCTTATCCTAAGACCACCAAAATTGCCAAATTCATGACCATTTTAGTTTCTTGAAAAGTACTTTCCTTATAAATATGCTACTCAAAATACTGGTGTACTCTGAATGAAATATCAACATGTAAGTCTCTATTAGTGTGTCATCATCCTACCTCTTCCACTTGCTCTTTGTAAAAATACTGAAGAAATCCGAAGTATTTTGGGTGAGTGAGAGAAAAACTGCTAGAAAATTGCCAAAAACAGCCTGCCGGACAGCTGTCGCTCGCTCCCCTCGAGAACGGATTCTTAGAGATAAACGGCAGTTTAAACTTCCTCCTATGCATCACTACCAGTGTCTTATCAAAACGATCAGCGAATCGTGGAGAGGCAGCTAATTTCACAAAAAAAATCGGGAATTAATTGTTAAAATTATCAAAAAAATCTCATTATCGACAAAACCAAATTGTCAAAACTAAATTAAAATCATCAAAAAATCAAAAAATTATCGAAAAATCAAAATTATAGATAAAAAATTGATTGAAAAGTGCAGGAAAGGGAGCATGAGAAGGTGCGAATTTTGATTAAACAGTTTGCTGAGGGTAAAAATATCATTAGTTACGGGAGAGGGTTTACAGCTCTGTTTAACTGCCTAATGAGTATGAATAATATCATGCAAAATTAAATAAAATTTGAAAATCAAATGATTTATTGCATTAAAAAAAGTAACAATCGCTTACCGAACAACCCTGTTTGATCGCTTCACATCGCCGTTTTGCATTTCTTTGTTTTAGTCAAAGAAGAATACAAAATTTGAGCCTGAAAATGATTTATTAGCAAATGAATAGCTACAGGAACACGGATTCGCTGTTTCAATCGCATTTAACTTAGCCTAGGCACAGGCGGATCCACTCTGGTTTCCTGGAGGAAGGCAGGAGGCGCGAAGGGGGGGAAAGGCGGAAGCGATTTTTTCCACCTCACTTTCTTCCTTCGTCATCACATCCCCCCTCCCCTTGGGCACTTCCTAGGTCCAAAAATACAGCCCCCAAATTTGTGCGCACAGAATGGCCAAAATTTCGCTCATATGTCTGCTGGCAAAATACTACCGTTTGAGCTAATTCTGAGTGTTTTACCGGCTCTTAGTCAAAGATCCTGACTCAGTACCCTGGCTTTCAGCCAAGAAAACTCAAATATTTAACAAAAAAAATTAACAAGGAGAAATTTCTGAAAAGAAGTATTCTCTAAAAGAATCATAAAGAAGGACTCATCCACAAACATCAAGCTCGATCTATCATCGATGATCTATTTTTTATCCTTTCATTTAATAAATAACTCTTTATGGATTAACAAAAGCTGCCACCTGCATAGTTTCAAGAAGCAGACCAAGTTCAGCTATCATACACATTAACAAATTTCACAGCATGGAAAAAATCGAAAAAAAAGGAGCAAAACAAACAAATATCTCTCTCATCATCAACTGAGTCACAATAACAACAACTTTAGCATATAATAACAACAGCATAGATTGTGAGTTCTTTTTTATAAACCGATTCGCGATCGTTGATCTCTACCGTACT